TTAAATAAACTAATACCACTGCAGTTGGTTTTGCTTTTGGTGTCAGAGAGTTATATTCTGTATCAATTTACCTAGCTCGTTTTTTTTTTTTTTTTTTTTGTGCAGACAAGGCTTAGGAGTACATGGAGAAAAATAAAAACAGAAAAGTAACTAAAAAAACCCACACCAACTAAAAAAAAAAAATAGGGGGGGATTAAAAGCACTTTCATTTGGTGGGATTGTTTTTGCAGTCTGTAAGGGTGTATGGATTTAGATACTGTGATTTGGAAAATAATACCTGGATACAACAAAGAATTTCTCTTGGAGGCTAGTGAACTGCTACATAAATCATTTCACCTAAACATTTGCTGATTATTGAGATAGGGACTTTATACTGTAGAAACTCTTCTCAAGATGTTAATTATGAGATCTTCATGTCTGATAAAGGTCGTGTTTCCCAGTTCTTTGACTTTACCTCTGCAGTAGTCTTTGGCCTTTGTTATACCTTAGGTGTTTTGCATGGAAGAAAACTTTGATGTTAACTACTCTTCAGTGGATGTTGATCTCTCTCCTTTGACCACGGAGGACTTAAAGCAAGGCGAGGTGAACCCAGTTCCTTGTGTGACTAAACAGAAGACATTTCCTTTGTCTATTTTTCTTTTTTTTCTCATTCCATCTTAATATTGCAGCAAACAATTGCTATATTACAATCAGTTGTGTGGCTGTTCTGTGTGAAACAGGTATTAAAATAAATGATACATGTACTTTCTAAACTCCTTAAGAACAAAAGCTGTTGTTGAAAGGTGGAGAGATCCAGTCCTGGCAGTAGAAACCATTAAAAAATAAAAAGTAAGTGTAGATATTATGCACAGGAAAAAATATCCTGCATCTAAAAAACTTTTTGACCAAAACAAGGAACAAAGCATCTTCTATGTTTATCTCAAAGGGTTTTTAATATTTTTTGCTTTGCTCATGAGGTAAATAGGGGCAGAACACTTTATGGTAGTTTTTTTAGACTTTGCCAGAGATTTGAGCTTAGCAAGTCAAATAACTTCATACATCAAATACAGTCATCATTTCTCACTGAAGACCTCTGAGTCCTGGAGATCTGTTACCAATCGATACCTAAACAACTGACACAGTTCCCTGGAGGAAGCCACTGTCGCACCCCTCCTGCCAGACAAAAACTAATGGTGGTGAAGGCGTTATTTGTTTCAGCAGGCTGAAATGGCAACATGGAAGATTCATAGCATACTAAAAGTCCCATACTCTTTGCTGTTAACTAAACACGAGAGCACTCCAAAAGGAAGTCAGCCACATGACACTGTGTAATAGAGTTTTCAGCTTTGTCTGATTGCATTACAAACACCACACATATTGAAACACTCTGGCAGCTTCCTAGTGCTCACAGTGAGGAACCTGAACCTTTTGACCTCAAACATCTTATTAAAGCCTATGCCGGACTCTGTCTCCATGAGGGAAAAAACAAGAAACTACTGGACATATTCTCCTCTATAATTCATTCAAGTAAGCCCTTGCTGAGTGGAGGACCTTGGCTTTGATGTTAAAGTCTCCTAATTGGAAGGAAGTGAAGTGTTAGCCTGTCAGGCTATTAGTCTCTCATCAAATACTTTAAGAGGCATCAGAACACTGAAGTTCTCACACTAGTGCAAAGCGAGCACGGAGTGGCCTGGTTTTTGTTAAAATGTTTAAACTTTGCATCTGTCTAACAACTTCCCCCAAAAATTTAATATATATGGAGTTGTTCCTTGATATTTCTTTCTTTTTATCGCCACCTTTTCCCTCTCAGAGCCTCCATCTTTCTATTGCCTACAGCACATCAGCTCCTATTAGTAGGAATGTGGGGGATAACTGGTGTAAGCTATAAAGTCTCAGGCTTCACATTACAGCCTTGATTCAAACCCAGTTATTGCATGCCCGGTGTGACCTACCTCTCTGCTGTTTGATTGTGGAACACCTACTTCTGTGGTGCTTTTCCTCCCAGGAAAGTGACCTCTCAGAAGGGTGTCCTTACAATAAGTAATGTTAAAACACAACCATTTCTGGAGGATCGCTTAGTTCTAAAGCCTCAGCCTGGGTCCAAGCTTTGTACTGTGCTTAATTTATAGTATTTACTTACATTAAATTAACTTAAATCTAAAAATATGTCACTGATCTCTTACTTACTGGTGCTTTCCTGCATTACAGATTGGGTACCCAAACAGAAAGATGGGGTGTTTCTTTCTTAGGCACATCCAACTAGTCCAAGATGAGAGTTGAATGGAGTCAAAGTCTCACAGGTATGTGACTAAACTCCTTCCTGTATTATGCACTGTTGAATTCTGTGTAATTTCTGTTCTTCAAGTTGGCAATAGCATCCAAAATGCCACAGTGAAGAAAATCTGTGAAACAGTATAACTACCTGAAAGGAAATTTCTGAATATACTAATGCATATCCTTTGGAATTATGAGGGTAGTTATATAGTCACATCTTCTCTATTACTTAGTTTACAACATGAGCCTAAAGAAATGCTGTGCTACCAGTGTAAATGCTTCTGTTCTACAAAGTTTTCTCTGTTGCAATTTGCCTAGTGGCAAGCTTATGCAAACAAATTACCTGTGGCATTTCATGCATATCTTCCATAATGCTAAGCATTCCTTTTGTTTTGCAAGATGATGTCCATATGAAAGCAAATCTAACTAGTCTGTGCCTTTACTATGCATGTCTCTTTCCTGACTGAATATGACCCTGTTCATGCACAATTATCCCTTTTTCATGCAAGTGTTTGATTTGCTAGTAAGATCTTTCACTTTACCTCATGCTTGATTCTGGCAGCACTTTCATTGGCTTTTGGATGGATCATGAGTTTTGTCTATTGCAACAACTTCTTTAAATTTTCCACCACTGTTTCTTTTTAGTGATTTCATCAACATAATGCCCTTTTGTAAGTCATTCCCATTTCTGAATGTCCAATCTTTTATCATTAAATGGTGTAGGGTTTCACACTTCATAATTATTTTGATGACCCTGTTTTTTTCAATTGGAAAAATTATTTTTTCTTTGATAGCTTAAGCAATCAGGGCCAAGCAATTTTTCCTTTCACTTTAGTAAGCTAGCTCACTATTTATATATCCAGGCTCCAAAGATATCCATGGCACTTACCAAATATGTGTGCTTCTGGGATGAAGGTCAGTTACCTGCCTGAGGTTATTAAAAAATTCCTCTCAACAATCCTCTTCCACCCGTTCCAGCTGTCCACAAGTCTGGGTGCAAGAGCTAATGACTGCACATTTTTTGCATTATTCTGAACAAGAATCATAGTTTACTTTGGTTTACTGTCATTAGTTTTGTTCTCTCTTGACATCAGATACGTTTTGGACTTTTCACAGAACAGGAGCATGGAAACCGAAACATTGTTTTATTCCTACAGCTAACTTTTCAAACACATTCAGTTTGTGTTTGAGTAAGCAACAAGAAGCATTTACGAGTCACTACCTGTGGTATTTCAAAAGTGGAGAGCATATACCAGGTTCCCAGCTGTGCTCAAATACCACTCATATCCCTATATAGGCATTATACCTCCCATGTTTGTGTCATTAACAAATGTCACTAGAGTTATATAGGTCACTGTGGAAAATATTAAATTAAACAAGATTTCAGAGTGACCCACAGAGAACTTCACAAATAATCTTTCTCTGATAATCATTCTCCTTTCAGGACACCTCTGTCATTAGCTACCTCTTTGGCTAATTCCATCTGCACTTTGTGTGTACCTTATGTACCACCTTCTCCAGTCCATCTCATCATTATCACATTTTTCAATACTGAATGCCTCAGTGAAGTCCAGACAATTTAAACCTACACATTTCTTTTATGTCAAAAAATACTCTCTTATCAGAAAAACAAAATAGATTAGTTATGTGGCTATGGAAAATCAAAGTGAAATTTTATTCCGTTTTACATTTATATCCACTTATTTTTCCCTCCTTCAAAATTTACTCTTGGGCCAAAATCTTAGCTGGTACATACCAGTATAAGTCTGTAATACATCTTCTTAGAAGTGATTATTAATGACTAAATACTAAGTAAAGAAATAGATTATAATTTCCCTGCACTGTCCTAAATTGTCCATTACTGCATTCTAGCTTGGGCTTCCTTGCCTTTGATTTTCCCTAGACTGCCACACTGCCAAGTAACCACCATGATCATGTATATCATTTACAGAAACTATGGCTTTATAATCCCTGGATTACATAACCCTTAGCACAAGCTACTTCATCTGGATATGTGCTGACTTAGAGCAGCTGAGAACCTCTCCCTTGTGTTCAGATTTACTGCCCATCTGCAAGACACTGAAGCTAGAGCTTATATAGGACTGGGTCGTAACTTAAGCCACAATAAAGAAGAGATCAGAACAGCCATATATAGAATTCCTTTCAAGATATCTTTGCTATTAAACTGCAAAGAGCTCTAATTTCCAAAAGGAAGATAAATCTCAAGTATACCTACGAAGCCAACTCTGAGAAGGTTGGTGAACAGGCTGAGAGTTACATCACTGCTTAGGCAGTGGGAGCATGTCTTTCTTGCAACCAGAAAGTGTGAGTGTAGTTATGCATGAATGGCATGCCTATGCTGGCTTAATCTCAGCTATCTGGATAAAAATCACATTTTGAGAGCCTGAACTCAGCACGATTTCAGCATGAGTTTTGCAGTCTCATGGAGCCCCATGTGGCTGTATGCTGGAGGCAATGTGCTCCAGGTTGTACCTCTGTGGTCTGGCCTCTGCATTGCTGACACTGAGGATGAAAGCCAGCGGCAATCCCACCTCTCACTGCAGCAGGGCTGCATCTGGCACACATACAGCCTGGTCAGCACTGTGAGTTGTGAGACGCACACAACGAGGACTGAGTCTTCTGAAAAGCTGCCTACGACACTCAAGCATGTCCTTCCTGAGAAGAAAGAGCTGTTACAAAGCCTTCTACCTTGGCTTCATTCATGTTTATTTTTGTGGGATAGTAGTAAATGAACTCTGACTTAAAGGCTCAGCTGCGGGAGTTGAACATCACAGCAGCTAAGGAAATTGAAGTGCGTGGTGGCAGAAAAGCCATCATTATCTTTGTACCAGTTCCTCAGCTGAAATCTTTCCAGAAGATTCAGGTGCGGCTAGTTCGTGAGCTGGAGAAGAAATTCAGTGGAAAGCATGTGGTGTTCACTGCTCAGAGAAGGATTCTGCCTAAGCCAACACGAAAAAGCCACGTAAAAAACAAGCAAAAGCATCCCAGGAGCCGTACACTCACTGCAGTGCACGATGCCATTCTTGAAGACCTGGTTTTCCCAAGTGAAATTGTGGGCAAGAGAATCCGTGTAAAACTGGATGGCAGCAGGCTCATAAAAGTCCATTTGGGCAAAGCACGACAGAACAATGTTGAACACAAGGAGGAAACATTTTCTGGTGTCTACAAGAAGCTCACAGGCAAAGATGTGGTATTTGAATTTCCAGAATTCCAGCTGTAAAGGGCAAAAAATGGCTGATTTTTTTTTTTTTAAATTTTATTTTAGGACAAGAGGAAATGGCCTCAAGCTGCGCCAGGGGAAGTTTAGGTTAGATATTAGGAAAAACTTGTTCACCGAAAGGGTGGTCAAGCATTGGAACAGGCTGGCAAGGGAAGTGGTTGAGTCTCCATCCCTGGAGGTATTTAAAGAACGGATACATGTGGTGCTCAAGGACATGGTATAGTGATGGTCTTGGCAGTGATAGGTTAACAGTTGGACTCGATGATCTTAAGGGTCTTTTCCAACCTTAACGATTCTATGATTCTATGATAAATACAGTTTGTCAAATTGCCAAATCTTCATCCAGAAAAAAAGGGCCACACAGCTTTTGAAAGAAAACGTTACCAGAAAGTAATAAGGAGAAAACAATTTTGTCTGAAATTTCCCAGAAATAGCCAGCCTGAGGAGGAAACCCAGCATGGAGCATTAAACAAAGGATTAGTTTGGAAAATATGTGAGGCCTGATAATAGCTTCTTGTAGTGCAAAGAGTTCGATGACTGTAATAAAGGCATTGCCATCAGTTCTGCCCATAATTTACTAATAATAAAAGTAAAAAGCAAGACTTTTAATCAGATTAGCTGCATAGTGTATCAAAAAAATGCATTCCATAGTGATAATTTTTATGACTCATATAAAAGGTTGTATTCTACTGCCAAAATCTTCCTTTCTTTCCTGCTGCTGCTGTGGTCATGCTAGTGATATCTGAATGCAGAATATGGCCAATATTCGTTTGCATCTTGAGATTTTGATAGTGCATGAAAAGCTGCTAATCTGCTGGTCTTGAAACCTTTGTCCTGAAGGTCACTGATCCTTGACTGTATCATTCAGATTCCTAAAATTGTCCGATCAAGAAACTTCTATATTCTTTCTACTTTCATCCCCTTCCATTATCTTGCATATTAAATATTCGAAAGGATGTTTATGTATTGACTTGGCATTTACTCTGTTAAATAGAATTCTCCCCAATAAACAGAATCAATTTATCTGGATCCAGAGTAAAGGATTCCCATTAGGCTTCCCATCAATCTAGCCATCTACTTGAAGGCAGAAAGTTGCTGCTGTGAGATGTCATTTACTACATGGTTTCCTCAAGGAGAGCCATGACTGGCTTTCTAAGGAATAATGTTTTGTTTAGCTAATGAATAAAGCTTGCTCTAGATAGATTGCAATTGTAGTATCAGCTTCTCTGTATTTTATACAACAGGATAATTGACCATTTATTCAATGGATCACCAGAAAATGCTTGACCATAATCATAATTGGACTGAACACAAAAGAATTCTAAATGCTACAGTCTAACAAATACATTACTTCATCAGAAGGGTAATTTTCAGTCTCAGCTTATACAAGTCATACAGATCCAAATGCTTTCTTAGCATTAAGTTGGCAGTGCTTCGTATTTAAAAGTGCTGTGCAGACATTAACAAATCAATCAGTTTTCTTATTACAATAATTTATCCTGTTCAGTGGTGTCAGGTTTGCCATATTATAAACTACTATAAATGCCAATCAGAAGATGTGGAGTGCCCTTTTTGATGCTGAATGCAGTTTGTTGTGCTTAAATTATAACTGAATTGAATGCTCTTGTGGCCATGGTTACATTCCTATCGTTATGTTTTCAGAAACACTGTATTTTTATTTCAAATACGGTTTTGTAACAGCATTCTGTGGCGCTGCAATGAAAAAAGTAAAACCTGATGCGTATGTACAGTAAACCATAAGAAAATGACCATTTACAACACAGAGATAGGATAGGATAGGATAGGATAGGATAGGATAGGATAGGATAGGATAGGATAGGATAGGATAGAATAGAACAGAACAGAACAGAACAGAACAGAATAGAATAGAATAGAATAGAATAGAATAGAATAGAATATTTCAGTTGGAAGGGATCTACAACAATCATCTAGTCTAACTGCCTGACCACTCCAGGCTGACCAAAAGTTAAAGCATGTTGTTAAGGGCATTGTCCAAAGGCCTCTTAAACACAGACAGGCATGGGGCATTGACAACCTCTCTAGGAAGCCTGTTCCACTGTTTGACCACCCTCTCAGTAAAGAAATGCTTCCTAATGTCCAGTCTGAATCTCCCCTGGTGCAGCTTGAACCATTCCCATGTGTCCTATTACTGGATCCCAGGGAGAAGAGATCAGTACCTTCCTCTCCACTCCCCCTCGTCAAAAAGCTGTAGAGAGCAATGACGTCACCCCTCAGCCTCCTTTTCTCCAAACTAGACAAACCCAAAGTCCTTTGCTACTCCTCACAGGACATTCCTTCCAGCCCTTTCACCAGCTTTGTTGCCCTTCTCTGGACACATTCAAGGACCCTCACACTATTATTAAATTGTGGGGCCTAGAACTACACACAGAATTCAAGGTGAGCCTGCACCAATGCTAAATACAACTGGATAATCACCTCTCTTTACTGGCTGGTTATGCTGTGTTTGATGCACCCCAGGATGTGGTTTGACCTCTTGGCTGCCAGGGCACACTGCTGGCTCATATAGAGCCTGCTGTCAACCAGCACCCCCAGATCCCTATCTACCTTTGCAGTATTTCCCATACATAGAATAAGAAATGCTGCAAACACTTCTGTCAATTTAACCCCTGTGGCAGTAAATACATGCTGAAACCTTTGTGTCCCACTTTGAGAGCTGGAAAATTATTTCCACAATTCTGCTCACATAGAAGTTTGTCAAAGGCACAAATACTCAACCAAACTCATAATTTGGCCTTGTGTGATTTTTCTAAGTGCTTTAGAAAAAAAATGCCACGTTTTAATCTCAGATATATAGCTTATCTCTTTAGATAGTATAAATGAGTATAATTCTACCAATTTCCATGAAATTGTGATGTACCTTCACTGAGAATCTTGCCTTGGGATTCCAGTAAAATAATGGGAACGCCTATGTTCAAGGACAGATTTTAATGACTGTCTCATAAGTGCTGACAGACAAATGGATATCTTTTGTTCAAGTCATCTGAGGGACAAGCAAGCCAAAATGCTTTCCTTCCAGTTCAGTTTAGGAAGTGAAACAAGAGCATTATCCAGCTTGGTGGTTTAAAGGCAGTGAGAGTCATGGTCAGCAGCTTTGATTCCAGCCTCCCTTCTAAACCTGCCAGACTCCACATGTGCGCTATGTGCCGGCAGTAACATGTCACAGTGACCCGGACAGTGGGATGTATGCATCGGATCATGCAGGAGATGTAAAGTACTATGAGAGTTCTCTCTCCATTGCTATTAATCGCTTTTATGATTTTTACTGTCAGAATAACTCTGATAAAAAGTGTAAGAAACCAGGCAGAACAATGAAAGCAAACAGAAGAAAGCAATACCTGACTTTCATTCACTAGCTTTCCCCCACTGCCCTTTAAGGACATTACTCTAAACTACTTGAGCTTGTGAATAAATCAGCCTAGCTATGCACCATGCCACATTCTTGAGACTATTTAATCTTGCTTTGGTAACACACTATAATTGTTATAATCTTCCTGTATTCTGTTACTCATTTACTTACTTGTTAAGAATACATTATACTCCACATGTTAGGAATGTGACTAGCTTACAGAAGTTTCTAATAAGCATTGTTTTCTGTGCTGCTCCTTTCAGTAATTATGAGCATGGTATAAATAATTGTACATAACTTTGTAGTTATGACAAACCTTAGGTAGCCAGCTAACTAGATAGGTTAATATGAAGTTTAGCTGTGGTCCAGGCCCCTAGCTAGTTTGAATGGAGATAGCACTGAACCAATTCCACCCCAAATCCATGGAAGGATCTGTCTCCAGGCATGTGGATTGCCACCAAAACACAACTTCTGTCAGCAAAGTCAACACTTATTGTCCGGTGATCTCAAAGAGAGTGGATTTTTAAAATATATTTCATAAATTTTCTCAAAATTGCCTCAGCAAAGGAATGTTTGGTGACCACTCCAAGAGCTGTTATAAAAGTATGTTTCAAGAATAATGAAAATAATAAAGGGCTCATGTTCAACATTTTTGAGGAAGAACATTTCTAGATGTTTAAAACATTTTCTTATAGAGTAATGGCATGATGACATAGCATACTGTTATGAGAGTATCTATAGCATTGTTACACAATCTTCTGAAATTTTAAGGAAGTTCCAATATTGGGGATTTTTCTGTTTGTTTGTTTGTTTCCCATATACAGATCCTGTAGAGAAAGTATGGTGGCAACACCAGAAGTGGTTGTGTTAGGTTTGATTGGAGTTGTTCACAGGCAGTGTTGCACTTTGGAAATCTGGCTGGATTTGGGCTGTAATAGTTGCTCAGTAATTCTCAACCTATCATCTGTTCCATGTATACATGCAATTCAATGAAGCTGTGCTCAGAAACTACCCAGACCGTGACTGTCCTCTACTGAGGATATTCTTCAAACAGGAAATCTTAAAGGCACAAGAGCAGGCCGTCCCCATGTGCCAAAAGATGAGCTGGTGGGGAAGAAGACTGGCCTGGTTGAACACAGAGCTTTGGCTGGAATCCAGGAAAAAAAGGAGAGTTTATGACCTTTGGAAGAAGGGGCAGGCAACTCAGGAAGACTACAAGGATGTTGTGAGGTTATGAAGGGAGAAAATTAGAAGGGCCAAAACCCAACTAGAACTTAATCTGGCTACTGTTGTAAAAGACAATAAAAAATGTTTCTATAAATACATCAGCAACAAAAGGAGGGCTAAGGAAAATCTCCATCCTTTATTGGATGTGGGGGGAAGCATAGTGACAAAGGATAAGGAAAAGGCTGAGGTACTTAATGCCTTCTTTGCCTGTCTTTAATAGTAAGACCAGTTGTTCTTGGGGTACCCAGCCCCCTGAGCTGGAAAACATGGATGGGGAGGAGAATGAAGCCCCTGTAATCCAAGGGGAAATGTTTAGCAACCTGCTATACCGCTTAGATACACACAAGTCTACGGGGCCAGATGGGATCCACCCAAGGGTGTGAACTGTGTTCAGTTT